GAGAGAGAGAGAGAGAGAGAGAGAGAGAGAGAGAGAGAGAGAGAGAGAGATGGATCGAGGGAGAGGGTGACGAGAGGGAGTGACAGAGGGAGGCTGACATGCCACAGGGTAGCATTAGAGCCAGCCAAGAAGAAGGGCAGGGAAAAGAAAGCTCAAATCCCTTTGCAAGATTCAGGTGGTTTTCTCTTCTGCATCTGTGTGTGTCTAGATCCATTTCAAACATTTTTTTACACTGAGTCTTCCTAGAAGATGGTAAATGACAGATGGAAAGCCATGGGTGGAGCCCCTCAACTTGAAGACGGACAGCAGGAGAAATCCCAGGTAAAGGAAAAGAATGAAAAAAGGATCAGGGTGAAGGAGGGCGGACATGTGGAAGGTAGAATCCATCACCCTCCAGAGGCATGATATTAGGGAGATAAATAGAAGTCCTTTGGCAAAACCTCTCTTATTTTCCCCTCCCCTCCTACCATTTAGGCAGCAGCTGGAGAGTGAGAACCGTGGAGTGCATGGTTGGCTTTTGACAGGCACGCGAGCGAGGGGGGCTAGGTCCGGGGCATCTCGGCTGCGGAGTTGAGATGCAATCCCAGGTTTCTTCCCAGACTGCCAGACTTCTTGCCCCTGGGAGGGTACCTTTCATAGTCCCCTCTGTCACCGCTTGAGGGGACCTGGGAGAACAGTGGTGGCTGTCAGCAAATTGGCACTGAATTATTGAGTTTCTTTATTTTTCCGAGCGTGGCACCTTGGGTCTGTAGCGGGCTGGCTGAGGGGGAGGCAGCAGCAAACAGGTAAATAAACCCTGCACAGCCGCCTCTGAGTAACTGGAGCACATTGTAAATGCTTAAAGAACCTTTTAAATAGGATTTTGCATGTTGACTCCATGCTGCAGTGAGTTCTGTCTGGTTATTTGCAATCTTTGCTTCCTTTGTCCCATCTACTGAAATAATTCAGGTGCTCGCTTAGACTTATTTATTAAGGGGATGTCTTGGGAAGAAGGAAGGGGTGGGATAGAGGGTAGTGCCCACACTATTGTGTATGTAGTTGTAAGGGCTGGAATGCAGAAATGTGGGGGGTACTGTGCTTGGTGGGTTAACTGCCACAGGCACCAGACTGCATCCTTGATTGTGCCTGGATAGGAGCTGGCAATGTGGTGCAGCTGGCGAGGTCAGGACATGACCTGTATGCCACCTAGCCTGTAAACCATCCCAGAGGCTAGACTCTGGCTTGTCTGACATTCACTAGGGACCAGAGTCAACAGTGAACACGGGCACATACAATCCATTGGGCTGGTGGTGGTGGCATGGCTGGGGCTGAGAAGGAAGAATGAATGAAGAGAGAAGGATGGGGACAAGCTTTGGTCCAGGCAGAGCCAGATTGTTGAGGCTGGTGATCTGACTTGCCTCTAAGGCCAGGGAGGAAAGATTGGAGGACTTGGAAGCCCAAGCATAGCTTCTAAGGCTCCCCTCCTAACCCCACCTACCTGGGCCTCAATGAGAAATAACTCCCTTGCTACCACTTTCAAGAGCCCTTCTGTTGGAAACACCATCATCAGGGCCAGAACCTTGTCTATGGGTGAAACAGCATAGCACAATGACAAGGGTGTTGAATATGGAGTCAGACGACCTGGGTTCAAATCTTTAGTCTGTTACTTAATACCTGTGTGATCTTGGGCAACTCACTCGATCTCTCTGGGCCTCAGTTTCCTCATCTGTGAAATGAGTCATTTGGACCAATGCCTTGTAAAGTTCCTTCAGACTCTAAATTTATGGTCCATTTTTATGATCTATTTCTCTGCCCTTGAATTGGGCTCATTGTGGGGGTGGGACAGCCAGAAGGTCATCTTTTCTTCCCCCCAAAATAAAACTTGCCCTTCATTGCTGCTATCCCAGAGCCCTTGGTGAGAGGGTTAGAAGCCTCCCTTGTGGAAAGCGACCATCACCAGCCATCCTAGGGAGTCAGCCCTGCTCTTCCCTAATGCTGTCAAGTATTGTCAATGTGTACGTTAAACCTGGTGCCACCTTGAATGGGCTTCTGTGCAGGTGCCCAGTTTGACAAAGAAAAGAAAAAAAGCCAACATTTTAACATTTTAAAAATCTTATAGACATATGCCCACGGGGAGGGCGAGAGGGAAGGGAAGCAGAGGGAGGGGAGATAACTCCTGCTTGGAAATGGTACACACGCAGGAAGATGGGGGTTGCATCTCATTGCTACAGGCTGTTGGTTTTGGCTCCTTCTGGGGCTTTTTAGTTACAGTGTACAAGGGGCTGCCGCATCTGTCTTCTCCATTTCATTCTCACCAAAGCCCCGAAAGGGCAGAGATGGGTGGGCAGAGATCCTTGGCCCCATTTTACAGATGAGGAAACTGAGGCCCAGAAAAATTAAGTGATTCACCTAAGGCTGTAGAGCTTATTTACTGTTAGAACTAGGACCAAAACCCAGGTTTTCTGATTCAAGCTCATCCTCTCTACACCATACCACCCTATCCAAAGGAGGAGTGGAGGAGAGGCTAATGATCATCAGTCCTTGCTGTGAACCCTGATTACTCCTGTATTCTCCCTGTATTTTTCTGTTGTGTCTTTGGGCCAAACCAAAGGAATCACAGAATCCAGGAGCTAGAAGGTACCTTAGAGGTCATCAAGTCCAGTCTCCTGACTGATGTGGGAATCTACCCCCCCCCCCTAGAAATCTTGACAAATGGTTATCTAGCTTTGACTTGAATAATTCCAATAACAGCTGCCATATATAGAGGGTTTAAGATTTATGCTTTGCATATATTATCCCACTTAACCATACAACAGCCCTGGGGGGAGAGGGTGCTATTATCCCTATTTTACAGATGAGGAAACTGAGGCTCGGAGAGGTTAGGAATGGAGCTCAGGTCTTCCTGACTCCATGTTCAGATCTTTATCAGCCACGTCACACATTCCATCAGACAGCTTTCACTGTTAGTAAATACTGCCTTCCACTGATCCTGCATCTACCTCCCCTAACTTCCATGGGTTGGTCCTAGCTCTTCTCCACTGGAGCTACACAGAGGAAGCTAATCAAGTTCACCCTCTGACCTTTGGGCAAAGCCACAAGAAAACCGTCCAAGACTGATAAGGCTCTCCTTCTGAGGACCCATGCCCTCCCTGGGGGGACCTACTCCAGGGGTCAGGAGGACTCTAAAGACAGAAAATACATCAAGAAATACATCAAGGGTCCTTTTTCTTGCCCTCTTTTTAGAGCTGGGTGACTTTGGTGGTTGTGCTGTTTGAAATTCAGGTCCCGGGACCCTTGAGGGGTTGGGGCCTCCTACAGCTGTTCCCTGGGGGTGCAGACTCCAGCTGCTCTCAAAAGCAGAGGCCCAGCTGTCTCCCCCCTGGCAAATGAGCACAGCCAGGCTTCGTGGTCTCTCTGGGTGCCTGAGCTTCGGCCACCATCCCCAGCTTCCTTGTCTTCTCCAGCAGACAGTGCCGGGGAGCCCAAAGATGTAGGGGAAGGAAGACTGAACCAGGGGCCTCCAGGATGCCTGCCAGAGTCCTGGCTCCGCCATTCACTAGCTACTTGACCTCCCCCAAGTCACTTTCCCCCTCTAGGCTCTGTTTCTACATCTGTCTGCATACTGCCCTCCTTTGGCATCTCACTAGCTGACTCTGAAACTCCAGGCAGAAAAGAAGGAAGGAAACAAGCATAGATAAAGCACCTACTATGTGCCAGGCACTGGGTTAAGCGCTTTACAAATATTCTCCCATTAGGATAATTGATCCTCACAACAACCCTAGGAGGTAGGTCCTCTTATTCTTCCCATTTTTACAGTTGAGGAAACTGAAGCAAACAAGTTAAAATGTGGCTTGCCCAGAGTCCTATAGCTAGTAAGTGTCTGAGGCTGGATTTAAACTCAGATCTTCCTGACTCACAGGGCAGCAAGGTAGCACACTGGATAGAACACCAGGCCTGGAGTCAGGAAGACCTGAGTTCAAATTCAGCCTCAGACACTAGTTGTGTGACCCTTGGCAAGTCACTTAATCTTGTTTGTCTCTGTTTCCTCATCTATAAAATGAGTTAGAGAAGGAAATGGCAAATCACTCCAATATCTTTGCCAAGAAAACCCCAAATGGGGTCTCAAAGAGTCAGATATGGCTGAAACAACTCAGCGACAAGTTCCTACCTCCAGGCCCAGTGCTCTATCCACTGCACCACCTAGCTGCCTAGGAGAGAAGGCAAAGGCTTGTGCCCATGTGTCCAGACCTAGGTCAATGTGTTTGAAATGGAAAATGTCAGAGGAACGTTTCTTGCTGATCTGCACGTCTGCCCCAAACCCCTCAATGGTCATAAGACTTTAGGGAAATCCAAAGTAACTCCTTATCAGAAATAGTTTGGGGGTTTGTCATCTCTGAACCATCCAGGGCAAACTTCTCCAAACCCTCCCAGGTAACTTACCTCCTTGTTTGATCTCCTGATGGCCAGGATGTTTTTCCTGTTTTCCAGAAAGAGAATGCCACTTTTCTCTTTCTGGGGTTCATTTCCTCTACCTCTGGAGCCAAAGGGGCTTTTCCCCTTTAGTCCACCCCATATGAAGATAAATGAAAAGAATTGGAGAAGGGAAGATTTAGGAGGGACATGATCACTGTCTTCAGGTATTTGAAACACTGTCACATAGAAGGAGACCCAGATGACCCAGATGGAAGCAATCAATCAATAAGTATTTATGGAGTGTGTCAGGCACTCTGTTAAGCACTGAGGATATTGGGGCAGGAAAGTCAAGACCAACCCCTGCCCTCAAGGAGCTTTCATCCAAATGGGGAAGACAGCATGTATAGAAATACATAGCAGATTCAAGGCAACCTCAGTGAGGAAAACACCTGCTTCTGGGGGGACCAGGAAAGGCCTCCTGAGGGAAGTAATGTATGGGAAGACAGGAAAGACAGGAATGGGCCTGGTTGTGAAAGACTTTACATGCCAAAGGAGGCTATACTTGCTCTCAGGGGCAATTGGTCAGGTTTGTGCTTTGGGAAAATCACTTTGGCATCAAAGTGGAGGATAGATTGGATCAGGGAGGAACTTGAGGCAGGGAGACACATTTGGAGGCTACCACAATCAGACCAGCTCGTAGGGAATGAAGCTGAGTTGAGCTGGTGGCTATATGAGTGGAGAGAAGGGGTCACATTAAGAGATGCTTTGAAGATAGAAATGACATGACTTAACAAATGATCAAACACCGGCGGCAGGTGGGGAGGAGAGGGAAGAATTGAAGATGATTCCAAGGTTGTGAACCTGGGTGACTGGGAGGATAGTGGGGCCCTCAACAGTAATGAATGACAGGTTTGGGGTGTCGAAGACAA